CAACTGAGGTATATGAGTATCGTGTCTTGGTACGATAGGACGACCTTGAGTAGAGAGGAGGTGTGTGTGTGTGTGTTGGTCATGGGTGTACTGAAGCGAAGTCTGAGTTATGTGGCCACTTGTTGGAGGCAAATTTTGTTTAATAAGAGAATGATTCATACACACACACACACACACACACACACACACACACACACACACACACACATATATATATATATACACTCAAATTACATAAAAGAATAAGCTCGGAAAAATGCTTTGATAAGAAAACACTTTTACCCCTAATAACATAATGAACAGGGAGCGCTCAGCCATCTCCATTATTCCACAAAGCTATAGACGAACTAAGACGCTACAGTCCTTAAAAATCGGTAAATAATTACTTACGGTATTTGGACTTAAAAAGGAATAATAGACATATACAATTGGCACAAAACGTTATATAAGAGACTAATATTTACCCAACTTATCCCCAGGTTTTATTAAACACGTTTCTAAAGGTTTATGTCTCTTCTACAGAACAGTAATGTATGATCGCTTTTACCCAGAATTAGTTTGTTTACCTCGAGTCAATATGGCGGGACGCGTTTACAAAGGAAGTGATATCACGTTTTTTTTTTTTTTCAGATATCATAATTCGTGTAATTAATGTCCTCTTGTCTTCCTTACGTATTTTAAAGGAATAATAATAATGATGATAATAATAAGAACAAGAAGAACAAGAAGATTAATAAGAACACCAACAATATTTATAAATATCCCAGAACAGCCATTAATGAGAAGTGGTGTGAGTTGGGTGTAGTGATGTAGTGTGATGGAGGAGGCGGACTCAGGGACCTGATACGCCATTAATACGCCATCACTACGTCATCAACACGTAACCAATAAACCATCAACACGTTATCAATCAATGCGTCATCAGTACGTCATCATGTAGCCCTAGAATTGGTTAGTCTAGGTTGTCCAGCCACAAGGTCGCTCACAATATGTATAGATATGTCAGTCTGTCAGGTAGTCACTTCGTCAGTTCGTCACTGGGTCAGTCAGTCTTTCAGTTGATAAGTTGATTCAGTCAGCAGGGAGAGAGAGAGAGAGAGCAAGAGAGAGAGAGAGAGAGAGAGAGAGAGAGAGAGAGAGAGAGAAAGAGAGAGATAATATCGCATATGCTGAAATTTCATGACAACTCACAAATCAACAGAAAAACGTTAATAACCAAAATATATATTTTTTTAACTATAATTAAAACTTCTATAACAACTATAGATTATACAACATATAAAGTTTACCTAATTATACAATATATGACTACATGATTATACAAGAAAGAATAATATTATGCATAGAGTCGGTTAGTTTGAATGTCGCGTTGAGTGTGATTTATGGGAACACTTTTAACTATACTAGAACAATATTGGCCACACACACACACACACACACACACACACACACACACACACACACTGAAGCTGTAAAAACAAGATCTAGAAGGAATAAATATTTTGCCTGGGTTAGGTATTCATAAGTCAATCTCAGTGTAAAGAAGAAGAAAAAAAAAAAAACTTGGGGACGTCCTAGCGAGGTGGTCGTTTTAAAAAAGGTATTTGTGTTATGGGTTAGTAACAAGTGTCTGAGATGTACTTTGTTATGATCGGGAAGATATAGAGTTACAGACATTATTCCTCGACACAATAGACCAGACACAAACAGACAGACAGACAGACAGACAGACAGACAGACAGACAGACAGACAGACAGACAGACAGACAGCCAGATCACAATAAACAACAGAAACAGACAGACATATATATTTTATTCATAAACACTCTCAGACACAATAGAACACACAGACAGACAGACAGACAGACAGACAGACAGACAGACAGACAGTATCACCAGACATCCTCAGAGACAACAGAGAAAGACTAGGTGTGAGAGAAGCATCATTACTTCCCTCCATCACCCTACCCTCCACCATTAACTTCCCCCCTCCTTCCCTCTCTCCTCCACCTTTATTTTAACCCCATCCCTCTTCCACCAAACCCTCTCCTATCACCACAACCTCCATCTATACCCCCTTCCTTCCCTTCCCCTCCGTCATCAACCAAACTTCCTCCCCTCATCCTTCCTCACCCTTCAATTTTCAACCATATCTCATACAGCCGCTAAGGAAAGCATTGAGGACACGAAGAAAGAAGTTGAGGTCTAGATAAAGGATTTCAATCTCGGTGGGTCCTACACAGTCGCCCTCTGGCCTCCCTCTAGGCTATCAGACAATAGCCTATGACGTCAGGGTAGAGGTTGACCTTTAAGCGCTCTTTCATTTACGGGAACAAAATGTATTGTGTATTTGTCGCAGGTCGTAATGCTGCTATTACCTGTGAAGCTATTTTGGGTGCGTGGAGGTGGGAGGGGGCGATGATGGATAGGTGTGGGGGGTAGGGGGGGAGGGAGATGGAGGTAGAAGGAGTAGGGAAAGAGGATGGGAGAGTAGAGTGGGAGGGGGAGAGGACGGATGGAGAGGGTTGGGAGGTGGTGGAGAGGGTGACTAGAGAGGAGTGAGCAGTAAGGAAGAGGTGAGGGAAGGGGAGCAGAAAAGGGATGGAGGAATAGAGGAAGAAGAAGAAGAGAGGAAGTGAAGAAGGACAATTGAATAGAAAAAAAATAATGTAACTAAATGGACATACATACATACATACATACATACATACATACATACAAGGTTAAGTTAGGTTTGGATAGGTTAAGTTTTAGCAAGGTTAGGTTAGATTAAGTTAGGTTAAGGTGTAGCTCGGTTAGGTTAGATTAAAGTTCTGTAAGGTTAAGTTAGGTTAGATTAGGTCAGGTGTACAACATTCTCTCTCTCCTCCTTAAGTTGTCTCAACGGTTGCCCCTAGTTAACGAGGCTCCTAGACGTGAGTTTAAGGTGTAGAAGCTGTCGCCAACACAACAACCACACCCCGAGTTATCGAGCTGCATGGCCCAGTCTCAAGGAATTGTCCGAGAAGACCGGACAACTCACTAACTGCACTGGCTAACCATTACCGCGGAATACGGAACAAGACCCCCCCATGAACCAAGACCTCCCCCCACGGACCACAAGACCTCCTATCCCCCTTGAACCAAAACCTCCCCTTCCTCTCCCCATGAACCAAGACCTCCCCCAACCCAACGGAACAAGACCCCCACGAACCAAGGCCCTCCTCATCTTAATCAAAGTGTCCCATAGTAGTAGGCAGCCCCTACTTCCTTTATCACCAACACAATGATATAAACTTAAAAACAAAACACAGGTAATAAACACACACTTCCTGATTACTTCCAAGACTCTCATTTGACCTTTAGAGAGGCTCTTCTTCGTCCTCTTAGGAGCTCGCTTGACTCAAAACACGCTGAAGAAACAAGAGAAGAAAAGAAACTAACATAGATAAAGATATGAATTGTTTTTCTTGTTGTGCGTCACTGAGTTTTGTGTTTATATTAGCTCTCTCTCTCTCTCTCTCTCACTCTCTCTTTTTTTCCTATTTTACATCCGTTTTCTTGTCTTGTTTGTATCTATCTATCTATCTATCTATCTATCTATCTATCTATCTATCTATCAACTCTATTACCCTAGACGAGGTTTTACTTAATCAGTCATATGGTCTGCTAGTTTTACCACCAGTTGGCCTTAATCAGTCATATGATCTGTCAGTCTTACCATCAGTTGGTCTTAATCAGTCATATGATCTGTCAGTCTTACCACCAGTTGGTCTTAATCAGTCATATGATCTGTCAGTCTTACCATCAGTTGGTCTTAATCAGTCATATGATCTGTCAGTCTTATCATCAGTTGGTCTTAATCAGTCATATGATCTGTCAGTCTTACCATCAGTTGGTCTTTATCAGTCAGTCAGTCTTAAGAGTGTCTACAGTCTATACGATGAGACATTAACTATTTTATTAACGTCAGGTACAGAATATCCTCTAAAAAATAGTTATTAATTTTCACATCAGCTGTTCCCTGACGACAGAGCGGAAACCCATCGAAATATAACAGTAAAAAGTCATCCACGTTCATTGGCCACTGGAAAAAAAAAAAAACTTTTGTTACGTTAATGACTGTTTCAGAATTTGCAATTCCAGCTGCTAGTATAAGGAATAAAATGATTGGATTATAGTATAGATGGGAACTATAATAACACTGAATTATATATGAACGAGGTCAATAAATGTGATATTTAAACTTTATCGAATGTTTGTTTATATAAGTTTACGGGAAACAATTTGTTGAGAACTGTAAAACCATCAGCCATTATTACAGATTTTGTTAGATTGTTGTTGTGACTGGAATTTCGTCCTCCAATAGAATTCAACGATAAGCTTCGGTTATGACGGGGTTGATAGTGAGTTGTGCAACACACGTCTCTCTTACTACCAGATGGCGACAATAAAACCATTCTGTGTTGGTCTACCCTCGCTCACATCTCTGACTCTGGGTAGTTAGGTTTTGCTCAGTTACGACCTGAATGTACTGTTACACTTCTGGCTGTATTGAGCTCTTGTATCGAACAACAGATACAAATTGAATTGTTGAAAAGTTGGTCACGGGTCGTTTGGGATTTTGCCTACCACCTAATATAATATTGGTGTTGATGTTAAAATGTTATTTCTCAACACCTAAGGTTTTTAATCGCGTATTCTAGATTAGTAAATATATTACTTATCAATAATTACAAATCAAGAGAGAAGTCCATATAAAATAAGACTATAACATTTCATAATTAACACCATATACCTTGATTATACCTTTTCTTCAGTAGCATATTTATGTATCATACCTTGACATTATCACGGTAGATCTAATTTATACATATGTGTCTACTGGGAGCTGTGTCCATCTTACAATGTGTGTCCAGCAATGTATATCTCGTGTATATCTGACGGCTGTATCACCACAAAGTGTATCACATCCTCATAGAAATAACAAAGTCAATGGTGAGGGAGGAGAGGGAACTTACCTCACGACATCAGCTTGTGTGAGGAGGAGGAAGAGGAGGAGGAGAACCCAGGTAGGGGACGGCAGCACCACACCCTCCCTCCTGCCTCCTTCACAGCCTCCTACACCTTCCTTGACACCGACACCCACACGACCACACCTCCTGACATCCATACCCATGCGGCCACATCCTTTGGTATCCATATCTATAGGACCACATCTTCTAGTCTTGGTGTCTATGTGGCCACTCTGGTTTATGTCCACACCTAAATGGCCACACCGTGTAGATTCGACGCCCACGTGGTTACACCTTCTGGTATCTACGCTGGCAGGAGAGACGACCATCTTGTACCTAAGAAAAAAAAAAGTCCGTAAAAACATTAAAAGTCTCAGGTAACTCACAAGATAGACGATAAATATACAATAACAAATAATAGCTTACCTGAAGAATTATCCCATCCAGCTTATTTTCAGCTTTAAATTAATTATACCCTAATTTTAACCCCACACAAGTTAACCAAACTTTATGTTAATTCTCACTCTCTTGTATGATTATCTTTAGGTAACGTCAACATCATTTTTATTATCATACTCCGAGTCATAAAGAGGTCGCTTATATCATGTAGTACCCCGAGTAGTGTCGTTCCTTCACAATAACTCGACTCTGACGGCCACCAAAGGAGTGTCCGTAGGAAAGGTATTTGATATCAAACACTTAATTACATTCCGTAGAGGAGAGAGAGAGAGGTTAACAGCCCTAATGTTGACAAGTCTGGTTCAGGTTTGTTGAGGGAAGTCCCACCTAACCAAACCTAACCTAACCTGGCTTTAATTTGTTTAAGCTGTGAATAATAATAATAATAATAATAATAATAATAATAATAATAATAATAATAATAATAATAATAATAATAATAATAATAATAATAATAATAATAATAATAATAATAATAATAATAATAATAATAATAATAATAATAATAATAATAATAATAATAATAATAATAATAATAATAATAATAATAATAATAATAATAATAATAATAATAATAATAATAATAATAATAATAATTATAATAATAATAATAATAATAATAATAATAATAATAATAATAATAATAATAATAATAATAATAGTAATAGCACCATACTGATCTTAGCTCAAGTCACCTCAAGGTACTTTAAAAATACATTAAGGAATCTTCAGCTTTAACTGGGGGAATTTTTGGCGATATTACCCCAAAAAGAAAGTCTCTCTTGTAGCGCCCTGTAGTCATATCAACATAGTCCTACCCTAAAACTGCGCCAAAACTCGAAGATTTTATTTTCTGTTACCTAGATACTCCCTGTTGACTTTCTCGAGTTTCACTAATTAGTTCAAAGTTTACGTCTTAACGAGTTAACTGGAGTCTGTGGGAGTTAACTTCAACCAGAGGCTTCTTAGCGAGTTGTGTTGCTAGTAGGTTAACAGCGGAGGTACAGGATAGGTCTTTGTTCAATAATTAACATAAAAGCTTTCAAAACTAGAATCACAAGTTGGATTTTATATTTCTAACCCCCCACCCTCTCTCTCTCTCTCTATTCTTTCTCCCAATCTACGTCTTTTTCTCTCCCTCTCAGTCCATTACCTCACCTGTCCTTAGAGACGCGTCAACGAGGGAAGCAAAGGATCGACATGGTAATTCTGAGTCACTCTCTCACTCTCTCTCCCCCTCTCTGATTCTTATGGCATTCTCTCCCATTTCAATTTCTATGTTCCTTCCTCCCTCCCTTACTTCCTTCCTTTATCATCCTTTCTGTCTCTTTTTCTATGTTCTTTTCTTCCTCTCCACCTGTCCCTCTGCCCCCATCTCCCTCCCTCTTAACCCTCTTCACAGGGCCTTGTCAACGAGGTATTCAGAAGGTCCACATCCTAATTCTGAAGCGTCCTTACCACACTCATTCTCTCCCTTTCTTTCCCTCTCTCTCTCTCTCTCTATTTCCTACTTTCCTTCCCCCTTTTTTCCTCACCGTACCCTCCTTTACTTCCTTATCACAAAAGAGACCTCATAATCCCTTACCCTCACTCTCGCCTCCCCAACATTCCTGGCACGGTCTACCAGTCTGTTGAGTCACAATACTGACTATATGTATATAGATATGCATACACTCATACTTATGCATACACTTATACTTCCACATATAGATATAGATATACCTACTTACTATTACTTACACACATATATCTACATACACACACGAAAAAACATGCATATATACTGTTCATACATACATACATACATACATACATACATACATACATACATACATACATACATACATACATACATACATACATAGTTATTTGCTATCACTCAGAATCGAGTATGACGATCATCCAGCTGTGATACAATGATACGAGTTATTAAAGATGTCACCTTCGTTGGTGAGCTCTGAGGTGACTCGAGAGGCCGATACGGGTCCGGCAGGACCGTCCACAGATGTTGCACGTGTGGAGGGCTACATCTAGTGCAGGAGGAGCCACGGAAGCGTCTTTCCGACGCTGGCACTTTTCTGTCGCGGTATGCAGTCAGGCTAACTCGAAAGTATTGACACCTTCTCTTGTGATGCTCCACCAAGCGTTACTGTGTGGAGTAATCGTCTCCCAGGTGAGGGGGTCGAGCTGGCACTTTTTCAGGTTTGTCTTATGACTATCCTCATACCTTTCAGTTGCCCGCCAGCGTTACGTTTACCATTCGTTAAGTGACTGCAAAGTAGCTGCTTTGGCAGTCTACTGTCGTCGACGCAGGTAACATGGCCAGTCCAACGTAGTTGTTCATGGATAATGGTAGCCTCGATGCTCCTACAGTTGGTGTCAGCGGGAATACCGGCACTTGTTCTCTTGTTTTCCCAGTGAACTCGGAAGATGGAACGTAGACTACGTTGGTGAAAGTTTACAAGTGCCTTGACGTGCCTCCTGTATGTGACCCATGTCTTGCTGTCATACAACAAGGTGGGGGGAACCACTGATCGATATACGTGCAACTTTGTAGATAATTTCAGCTCCCTACAGCTGAAAACACGGGTACGGAGTCTACCAAAGACTTGAGATGCACATCTAATCTTATGTTGAATCTCTTCATCGATGTCAGCGGTGGTGGACAGGTGGGAACCGAGATACTGAAAGTGGGTAACATTAAAGAGGGTAGTACCGTTAACCTGGATGGATGGTGGAGGTGTAGTTGAACCAAGGGCAGGCTGAAAGAGAATCTGAGTCTTATGTACATTCACCTCAAGGCCAAAGTGTTCAGGATGTCCTGTAGGTCGAGCTCAGTGTGAGCGACGAGGGTGAGGTCGTCTGCATACTGAAGTTCAGTGATAGAAGCTGCCGACACCTTTGTTCCTGCCTGGAATCGTCTTAAGTTGAAAAGTCCTTTCATCCGGTACTGGGTGTCCTTTGTTCACCCTCCTCCAATTTAGCCGTCGCGCCGGCTAAATTGACACTGTCAAGAGTAAGGAAGACAGCCAAGAAAATGGAAATGAGAAGTGGTGCCACTACACACCCTTGTTTTATCCCCGTCTGGATGGAGAAGAACTCAGACTGGGTGCCATAGTGTAGGACACTGGCGTTCATGCCATCGTTGAGTTGCCTCACAATGGCGATGAATTTTGGTGGGTCACCAAAATGACTGAGGGTCCGCCAGAGGGTTTCCCTGTTACCCGAAGAGAAGGTCCTAGTAAGGTCTATGGAGGCCATGTACAAGTCAAGACGCTGTTAATTGCACTGTTACTGTATCTGATGGGCAGCAATGATCATCTCAGGGGTGTAAAGTAATGGTTTAAAACTACACTGGGATTCTGGGAGGAAGTTTTCCCCCTCAAGAAGAATTCTGTTGAGGGGACTCGGGCGATAATTATCTTGCCAACTACGGACAGCAGCGAGATCCCGCGGTAGTTGCCTCATCACACTGCAACACACACTCACCATACCTCCATATACCCTCACCACACCACCATACATTCTCACCACACCAACACACACCCTCACCACACCACCATACTCCTTAACCACACCACCATATATACTCACCACTCCACCACACACCCTCACCACACCAACACACACCCTCACCACACCAACACACATCCTCACCACACCAACACACACCCTCACCACACCACACCACACCACACCACACCACACTTGCTCCTGTCAGTCAGTCCACCTCACCCACCAGTCTCAGAATAGAGCTACCTAACGTAACCATATCTGGACACCTGATCTCACTCCCACACTGGCCACTGTCTGAACACACAGGCGCCTGGTGTATGTGTGTGTGTCTGTGTGTGTCTGTGTGTGCGCCAACAGAATACATTACACACAGCACCGGGTCAGCACCACAGGTAAACAAACATGGCGGTACTTAGTGGACAACACACCTGTGGTAACCATGGTAACAATAAAGCATCTTACCTGTTTATTAATTATGTATTTTTACGGTTTATTTACAGGTGTGGTGGGGGGTGTGGTGGAGGGTGTTGTGGTGGGTCTGGTGGATGTGGTGGTGGCCTGAAGCTTATCTATCTATCTATCTATCTATCTATCATCACAACACAACACAAAGTGAACTTCCAGGAACCAGCAATAAACAGACTCGTAAATCTCTGTTGTCATTCATTACTCAATAAATAACATCCAACGTCATATTATTCACCAATTTGTATTCAGAATATAACATAAAATAACCTTGTGATCTATAGTGAGTTTTTTAATATTTTACAAAATCCTCTTTTATGCCTTCAATTTTGTAGGATTTTTGTTGTTGTTGTTTTTCAGTGAAATATTATCTATAGGTTTTAAATAGAAATAAAGGGGGGAGGGGATATGTATGCTATATTTTTTTTATGATTTTTCAGGTTATTGGATGTTAAAAAATATACTACTTTTGAGAGAGAGAGAGAGAGAGAGAGAGAGAGAGAGAGAGAGAGAGAGAGAGAGAGAGAGAGAGAGAGAGAGAGAGAGAGAGTTACTAGTATTCCAAAAGTATCATCTATTTCTGTCATCCTAAAGGAATTGAGTGAGTAAGGGCAAGGTTAGAGCACCAGAGTTAGGTTAGTTTCTCAATATTAAAAAAAAAATATAGATGCTTAAAATAGGAGATTTCTTTCTTTTTTTTCAATTTAAATTCCAAAATAAGAAAAACAAACACTAAGTCCTTAAAATAATCGAATTCCCATTATGGTTTAAATTCTCAAGAGGGAATAGTGTGGGGGGGAGGTAACCGCTGTCTTCTTCCCCATAACCTCCTCTTATTCACGGCTAAGGTTATCGTCCCTCATAAAATATAGAGATAAAAATGTCTCCTCAGCTTTATTGTTCCCCCGTAAATCTAGGGAAAAATATGGCTCCCGCTCATAAAATTTCCCTGTGCGGCAGATTTCACCCGAGCCATCCTGTAGACCAGAGTTTGGCAGGACAATAATGGCTTTTAAATGACGTCAAATGACTGGTGTTGGGGTAAGTTTTCTAGGTCAGTTTTCTATGGAAATTAATGAAATAGGAATAATAATTTTGGTTAGGTTAGGTTAGGTTTGGAAATAATGATATAGACGTTAGATGTTTTGGGGTTTATGACTTCCAGAGAGATAATGTTCCGAGCAGCCACAGTGATATCAGAGTTCCAGGCAATAAGTGTTCCAGGCAGCCACAGTTCCAGGCAGCCACAGTTCCAGACAGACAAAGTTCCAGAGAGCCAAAGCGAGAGAAAAACCACATTAAATGTAACAAAATCCAACAAAAGAAAAAAACAAAACAAAATCACTTTAACTAAGGAAATAACAAAACCGCCACCACACCACCACCACCACCACCACCACCACCACCACCACCACCACCACCACCACCACCACCACTCCGCCCTCCATTTCTAATTAAAATAGATCAAATGATAAGTAACCTGCAGTACTTCCTTGTCAATACATATAGTCTCTCCTCCTTCAGTAGCGGACTCAATATAGGGAGAGGGAAGGCGTTTACGTGCCCGAGGGGAGCAGCGTACTATTAACATCTGATAGGAACTCCAGGGGGGGGGGACAAAACATAGTGTAAATAAGGGTTTATGTGAATAGGGTAATGACGTGAAGGGTCTATGGAGAGAAGAGTGGGTGTAGTGCGTGTGTAGGTGTAAGGGTATTATAGTATGTGTGTGTGTGTGTGTAGGTGTAGAGTTGTGTGTATGTGTGTCGTGTAGGTGTAGCGGGGATAGGTATGCGAGGTCTCCCACAAGTAAGGACAAAATTGAACCCCCCACACACGGTAATAATCTATAAGACAGTGGGTATTACATTTTTCTGAGACACATTATTATTATACACACTCTCTCTCTATTCGCCGTGGATGCTAAGGTAGTACTAAGAATCCAGGGAACCTTAAGTATGTGTGTGTGTGTGTGGTAGATGAAACCCATGAGAATACCACAATACGGATCAGTTCACCATATTATATAGCCAATGGGAAGCTCCTGAAAATGGGCTCTTACATAACGCGGGAGGATGGTTGGTTATAATAATGTCCTGACCGTGTATATTGTTGTGGTATTTTCAATGTGTATAATATTTCCTTTCTCCTCTCTCGCTGCCTATACCCCGCCTCTTCCTTCATTTTTTATTTATCTCTTTTCTTCTCTTCGTTTCTTCTACTCCTTCTCTCTCTCTCTCTCTCTCTCTCTCTCTCTCTCTCTCTCTCTCTCTCTCCTTCCTTATTTTTTCATTTATTTTTCTTCTTTTCTTTCTAAATACCTCATTTATCCTCCTCTTATTGACTCCTCCTTCTTCCTTTATCCTCTTCCATATCCTCTTTATCCTTCATTATCTCCTTTCAACCTTCCTCCCTTATTCTTCTCCCTCTATTTCTTCTTCTGTTTCTCATATCTTCCATTTCTATCTCCCAATTTTTCACCTTTCCACCTCCCCTTCTCTTAACCTCCTCTTTCCGCCTCTTCTAACCTCCTCTCTCCTCCCCCTTACTCTTCCTCCTCTCCACCTCTTGTTCTTCCTCTCCCTCCCTCCCACTTATCTCTCTCGCTCTCTCCCTCTTCTTCCCCAAAGGTGCATTTTTACGTACTTTTAAAAGATTTTCTCAACCGTGAACATACACATGTCAGCCATCAACACATATTAACTCTACTAAAACGAGAGATGGCAAGTAATGGTAACGTTAGTAAACATTCCCAACAAAGTGGAATACTGTGGGTTAGTAGCTGCTAGGTCTGGAATACTGTGGGTTAGTAGCTGCTAGGTCTGGAATACTGTGCGTTGGTAGCTGCTAGGTCTGGAATACTGTGGGTTAGTAGCTGCTAGGTCTGGAATACTGTACGTTGGTAGCTGCTAGGTCTGGAATACTGTGGGTTGGTAGCTGCTAGGTCTTGAATACTGTGGGTTAGTAGCTGCTAGGTCTGGAATACTGTGGGTTAGTAGCTGCTAGGTCTGGAATACTGTGGGTTAGTAGCTGCTAGGTCTGGAATACTGTGGGTTAGTAGCTGCTAGGTCTGATGTACTATGAGCTGGGATAACTCAGCCTCGGTGTAGACAGGGATAAATGATCGTGTGGTGTGGGAGGAGTCTCTTGAGGTGTGCACATTATTATGGAGGGAATTTCCTAGATCCTTCCTTTCCTTTTGACGACGACGATGATGATGATGATGATGATGATGATGATGATAGTAATAACAATTAATGGAAATGATGGTAATGATCAATTAACTCAATATAAGTTAAATTACCTTAAGCTAAATTAAACCAAACAAAAAGATCAAACTTAACACTGATTAAGATAGTCTAAATTAGATTAAGTTAGGATAGGTTTAACCAGAATCCTACAGGAACAACCAAATGCCTCTCAGGAGAAACCTATTAAGTTCTCCAGATATCCTACGAGTCCTTCAGGCTAGGGGAATCATAATGAACGGCTGGATCCTACTGAATCCTACACCAGCAGGTCGCCTTTTAATTAACTACTGAGGGAGGTTGAGGCAACACCTTAATAGATGACTGGCCAGGTGAGGTTTGTTTAATTAGGTTGTATAGTCGGGATGATTATAGGTAAGTTTATGATGTGTGTGTGTGTGTGTGTGTGTGTGTGTGTGTGTGTGTGTGTGTGTGTGTGTGTGTGTGTGTGTGTGTGTGTGTGTGTGTGTGTGTGTGAGTGTGTGTGTGTAGTTTTAAGAACCATTACAAGTCTCACTCTCTCCTCTTCTTCCTTCCTCCTCTTCGTGATCTCCACTTCCTCTTCTATGTAAAGGAAGATTATTATTTACCTGGTGTGTTCCGCTCCTCTTATACTCCTCCTCTCAATTGGCTCCTGTGAACCTCTAGCTACCTGAGTCATGGCGGCTACACTACCTGTAACGAGAAAGAAGAAATGTTGTTAGTATCTTAAACGAGGTGGATTTTTACTCTCTCTCTCTCTCTCTCTCTCTCTCTCTCTCTCTCAGATCCCAAACAAGTTAATGGTACAAAAGTTCGTGATCCGGGGATGTTTTCTTTACTTGAGCCATGATGAAGGTGGGGAGGGAGGGAGGGAGTGTGGTGTGTGAGGGGTAAAGAGGTTTTTCTGTTTTATTTATCTCTCTAATTCACTCTCACCATTTCTTGTTCGTCCACTTTCCTTCTACCACATTGCTACTCTCTCTCTCTCTCTCTCTCTCTCTCTCCATGGCATAATGTAGGCCTGTACTTCCGTGCAGGGGTTACGCACACACACACACACACACACACACACACACACACCTACGTCCCTAAGATAAAAAAATATATAAAAAAGTTTAGAATATAAACAAATGAACAAGAACAAGAATAATTACAACAAAAACAAAAATAATAGCAACAAAAACAATAGCAACAATAACTCTATATTATAATTCACTTTAGAAGGTAGACCCATTAGATATATGACTGGAGGTGGAGGACTTGTCGTAGTGACCTCTTAGGAAATCCCAAGACGATAGTTTGAGACTCTTAACAGCGTAGTTCACTCGATGGCCAGTAAATAAATTACTCCTAAAATTGTTTCCCTGGCGAATACCGAAGCTATCGTAAAAGTTCCTGGAAATGCTGGTCAATATATCGTAAAGTTTCCTGAAAATGATAGTGAAGGTAATGGAAATTTTGTAGGAAATGTTGAAGGTAATGTAAATGTTCCGAGAAGATAAAATATTAGTTATCATAAATGCTTCAGGAACCGATGATAATAATAATAATAATAATAATAAAAATAATAATAATAATAATAATAATAATAATAATAATAATAATAATAATAATAATAATAATAATAATAATAATAATAAACACCAATTTTTACAGTAAATAATCTTCCAAGCCTTAATATAATATATGTGCTTATTTTGCCTTTGTTGTCTGTCAATACTTAGTTACGCTCGTAGACTTATTTTCTGCATTAATGAATAAGAGGCGCTGCATAAATTATTTGACAAATTTTCAAGTCATTACAGAAGTTTAAGTAATTTTTCAATGTTTGAGTTTGTGTTTGTGGAGAGTGTATTCACTAATTATTATTATTATTATTATTATTATTATTATTATTATTATTATTATTATTATTATTATTATTAGTATTATTATTAGTATTATTTTTATTATTATTACTTCGTTTGTTCACGTTTTATTTATTTCCAACAATTTACTACTTCTTAACACCAAATCCTTTTACATATTTTATCTCTCTCTCCCACATCTAAACACTTAACTAAGAACCTTTTCACTCTGCCCTTTCTACAGCGCCCTGATATAATCTCTAAGGACCTATTCACTTTGTATTTTTTTTTTTAATTTTCTTTCATTTCCATGGGCTCTCGGTTCTTCACTGCCTCCCTGGAGTAAGTGCAATAAGACAATAGATATGACCACATTTGCATACACACAACCTGTCCTCAGAGATTCCTACCTACCTTTCTATTTTGTCAACTTTTTTTTTACTTTCTTTCTTACCTTCTCTCCCTCCCTCCCACTCTCAATCCATTATTCTTTTTTCTCCCTCCGTTATCCTCTCCCTTAGTTCATCTCTTTCCCTCTCTTCTTTCCACCCTTCCTTCCTTTCTTCTCACTCCCTTTCAACATCATCTCCTTTCCTCTTTTCCTCTCCCCTTTCCTTCTTCTTACCTTCCCTCCTTCCTTTCTCCCCTTCCATCTCCTGTGTCCTTTTCCCTCCATTTTAATCTCTCCCCTTCCATTTAACTCCCTTTTATTATTCCCTCCCTAATCTTCCTTCCTCTCTCTTTCCATCCTGTATTCCCTCTTTATTCCATACCTCCATCCCTAACTCTCTCTTCTTCTTCCCTCCTTTTCTACCCCCTCCCTCTTTTCACTACTTCTCCTCCACTTCTTCTCCCACCATCTTCCCCTTCACCTCCTCTGTCCACCCCCTTCTTCCTCTCTTTTTTCTCGTCTTCCTCTTCTCCTTCATCTCCTCCCCTCCTCCTCCTCCTCCTCCTCCCCTCACTCCCATTCTCCTTCTCCCTCTTCCACCTCCTGCTCCTCTATTCTCCTATCCTCCTCTCCCCCCCCCTCATTTCTTCTTCCTCCTCCTCCTCTCTTCCATCATCCTTTACCTCCTTCCCCTTCATCTACTCTCTTCCTTCTTTCTCCCATCCTCTTCTCTTCCTGTCATTGAAGAAAGAGAGGGCAAAGGAAGTCAGGTGTTTGCACAGGTAATATGCACAATTCTCGTCTTACCCGGCAGGTGGCGTGATGGGTGACCTGAGAAAAGGCTGCCCACACTACATCTGGCTGGCTGAGGTTAGGTTAGGTTAGATTATTTATATCCACTAAGGGTTTAAAGGCTTCGTAATTCAAACATTATTGATTCACAAACCAGGATTCAAAGTGGTCTGGGCGCTCATTACCACGAGTTTGTTTATTACCTTTGAAGACCTCAGAATCCAGGCCGTTCCTACCTGACCTTGTTTCTGAGAGCACCAAACCCGTGGTCGAAGAGGTTGTAAAATACATCAGGAATATTTATGATTAAAGTTAGCAATTAAGGTAGGCTATGAGCTCGAAAATAAGTTTATTATTGTTTGTATATCTGCACTTTCTAGGTACATTGTATACCTGCACTTTCTAGGTACATTGTATACGTGTATTGTCTAGGTCCCAGTCTACTGTATTAGCATGCTATACTGTATACCTCGCTATGACTATATACAGTATATATAAGTATGTTGAACCAATTGTACACTTGTATAGTAAGGATAAATTCTCGTATATACACCACATATAGAATTATTCATAATCAAGAGACTTTAGGAAATAATTTTATACCATCGTCAGGAGGAAAATACCAAACTCGAGACAAATTTTCCTGGGTCTGGGGGAGATTAATATCAATCTACATCACATATATCACACTGCTGGGGATTTATTACACAGATTTAGTAATTATCAAGAGAATTGTGCAAAGTTATGGTCAGAAGGAAGGAAAAACTTTATGAAGTATCGTATTGTGGCGATAGTTTTCAAGGTATGTAGCGTGTTTCAATAAATCTATACACAATACCTTACATATTTTCATGTAGATCGTGTGAAATCTGTCCTCACTTGTTGATGGGCGAGGTCTCTACACGAGGATAATGTTACTATTACATTACAAACATCCACACGAGCTCCACGAAAATATATAAGACAGTTTGTATACATTTTTCTGAGACACCTTCTTCTTATTTCACTTCTCTGTTAATGTGTGATTGTTAAGAGAATTTTGACAAGTTTATGGCCATAGTTGGTAGTTAAGGTTCAGTCAGGCAGAGGAACTGTTTCAGGGGAAGATAAACTGTTAACTGTGTCCGGGGAAGATAGACTGTTGACTGTATAAGGGTCATAGACTGTTAAGAGTAAGGGAGACTGAGGTATTACTTCACTGCTCGCTTTATTGGTGAGTGTTTTCTTTTTTCTTACGTGTTTTATTGTAGTTTTTCACTCATATTTTTTTCTTTGTTTTCTTGTCGTGTTTTCCTTGTTTTATTGTTATATTTACTTCTGGTTTCATATTTTTCTTTTACTGTTTTATTGCTGTTTTTTTTTGTTTAATTACAATTATGGACAAGTAGAGATAGACAAACAGACCGAAACAGAGAGAGAGAGAGAGAGAGAGAGAGAGAGAGAGAGAGAGAGAGAGAGGGTTCACCTATCGTGTTAACTGGCTCATGGGTGGGTAACTAGGGAAGTTAATAACGACCATCAATTAAGAAAACTGATCACTCACCCCTCAGATAAATAACGACGACAAACATTAATAACAAAAGTAAAAAAAACAAACAATAACAACAAAAATAAACAAAAGACAATAACAACAACAATTAAAACAATAACAAAAAACAATAACAACAAACAACAAAAATAAACAAAAGACAATAACAACAATAAATAACAATAAAAACAACAACAAACAACAAAAATGAACAACAACGACAACAAATAACAAAAACAAACAACAACAACAACAACAAACAAACGATAACAACAAACAACAACAACAAAATTAGGTAGAACGCCCATTCCCCAACTCTCAATAACAGTGACACTAAGGTACAGTGCCATAATGGTGATCAAAACAATACCGGAGAGAGAGAGAGAGAGAGAGAGAGAGAGAGAGAGAGAGAGAGAGAGAGAGAGAGTTGTTGATGATTGATGACACTCTTACTCGCCTCACCATAAGGCTTAAAGTCTGGGGTCATCAGTGTTGAGATATATATTTATATGGACTTTTATTATCAACGTTATTTAGTGATTAGTGTGTGTGTGTGTGTGTGTGTGTGTGTGTGTGTGTGTGTGTGTGTGTGTGTGAAGGTAGCAGCACAATACGACCAAAACTACCTAGTCCTATTCTTCAAAATCAAATCAAATTCAAATAAAGTACTAATATGAAACATAATCTCAAAGGAATGAACTCTAAACCATCTTATTTTCACTCCAGTTATCAGACAACAACGCAGAAGAGTTTAATGAAAGATATATAACATGAACATATGTCACCTGTGATTGATTTTGAAGAGGACGAACATAAATAATCGAATCTGTTCCGCTGGGTTGATTAGATTCTATTTTGTTTGTCTCTGAACCTTTACCTGGAAGATCCAATTCTCTTCCTGCGTGTTTATGTAGCTTCTCTTGTGTTATTTTTGTGTTTATATTTTGTTATTTATACTATATTATGTGTTAAGGGTTTTGTGAGGTATTGGTAAGGTGAAGCGGACTTAACAACATGTTTACGGTGGTTGGTGGTGGTAAGTCACTGAGGTGGAAGAAAATATACAATACAGAGTTTGTGTTGCTGATGAACATATTGTGAAGTTTGTAAAGTTATTAATGGAGATGAGACAGT